CCGGCGCCTTGGCCTGCAGACGCCCAGCCCGGCTCCCAGGACAGCTGCACCCCAGGGCTTGGGTGGAGAAAGGGACCCAGCTGGCTGTCAGATGCCACCCCAGGAGGCAGAATGGGCTGAGAACAGAACAGATGTTCTGCTCACTGGCATGCGGGCCCCTCCGATTTGCATTCGGCAGCCAGAGGCGCTGACTCTAGGGTTATAAAATAAAACGCATGAACGAACTCGCGTACCCTGTTCCAGAAGGGACAGACTCAGTCCTCGGGATGTCTGACCACCCCTAAGTCTCTCTCTCTCACACACACCCTTTTATCCTCACTTCCAAATACACGTTCGCGCTGGAAGAACATTCGCACCGTGTCTAATTTCACTTCTTAGACAGAAAGCCAAAGCCGGGCCGGGGAAACCTGGTCACAGAAGCCTGCTCCCTGGGGCACCTGTCCCCGCCGTCCCCCCACATCCTCACCGCGTACGGCCTGGGCCCGGGAAGGGCTGCCCGAGCAGACCGCTTGCTTCTTGAGAACATGTCACGCACTGGGAGGCTGCAGTAGGTCCTGATGAGGAGGAGGAGGACGCCCCTCGAGGCTAAGCTACTGCATTGGAGGCTGGGACTTGGGAGGCTGGGCTCTCTGCACAGGGCCAGGCGGGAGGCCCGGCTGGGCCCCGAACCCAGAGGCACTGGGCTCTCTGGGTAGCCAGCCAGGAGGTGAACTCCCACCCTGCCTGAGCACTCAGCCAGGGGCTTCTCGGGGAGACTGGGCCTCGGATGTGTCCAACTTGCACCTGTGGTTCATGCTCATGTTGCTGCTGCTGTTACCGCAGACAGAGCACCAACCAGCTCCACCACCACAGACCGCTGTGTCTTTACCTCTCTGGGCCTCAGTTTCTTCCCCCAGTCCTAGGGGTGTCAGAACAACCGATTCTCCAACAGGGAGGGTTTTGCCCACCGGGGGACTGGACACTGTCGGGGGATAGCGCTGGCTGTCACAACTGGCCAGTGCTACTGGCACGTAGCGAGCAGAGGCCGGGGTGCTGCTCCACACCCTGCAGGGCCCAGGACGGCCCACGGAGGGCTGACCCCGCCCAGAAGGGCAGCAGTGCTGAGGGCGAGACGCTGGAGGAGACGAAGCTGCAGCTTGTCGTCGGGAGGACAGCGACGGAGCAGGGCTGCCGCTGGCCCTCACTGGGCAGCCTGACTGTGCAGGTAGAGGAGCTCGCTGCCCCCTCCTCTGCTGGCCTTGAGGCCTCCCAGCGAGTCCTGTGACCTTCCAGGGGACTCCCTCAGCAAGCAGGGAGCAGCTGGTGGCCCAGCCTGGGGCATTTGTCACACTAGGGACTCCTAGTGTCAGGTGACAGAGGCGCACCCGCCCTCTCCTCCACCCCACCTCTGATTGTTCATTTCCGGAACAGCCCTGCCTGCCAGGCAGGTGCCCCCAGCAGGCTGGCACTACAGGCCTATAAACCGGCGTAGCTCCAGAGACAGAGAAACCAACACTATTTCCTTTCCATAAAGACTACGTGCCCCTTTCAGGTCGGTACTGGGAACTAGACCGCACAGGAAGTGTCCCCGATCCCAGGGGCCTCAGACCCCCTGCAGGGCAGAGCAGAGCTGGAGTCTGTCGGGACCGGGAGCACTCCTCACCTGCCTCTCTCCTCCTCGGCTGTCTCCTGTGACTTCCCATCCAAACAGCTCCTGGGGAGGCACACGCCGTGTTTAGAAATGGGACAATGGACTAGATCACGTGTTCTCGGGACGCGGCCGCTGGAGATTCGCCGCATGCTGCAGCCGTCTGGGCACAGGAAAGCGGACCCTGGGCCTGGGGGCTGCACAGCGCCCACAGGGGCACCGGCCACAAGGCCGGCAGACACGCCCGGTCCCTCGGCATGGACCCCTTACTTCCCGCCAGGCGCCCGCTGCGTGGGGCGGTGATGGGAGGTGCCCAGGTGAAGCCTAAGGTCCTCGGCACTCTGGCTGCGGTTTATTCCTGGCACTATTTCAGCACCGTGACTGTCCCCTGTGCACAGGCGGCACCTGCCACTCCCTCCCCCTCCCCACCTCCGGCCCACAGCATCAGTCCCTAGAGGACTCCCGAGGGTGTCACAGAGCTGGGTCCCTGCTCGGTCCCGCAGCTGCAGACTCTAGGGAGTCGGTCAGGACTGATGGGAAGTCCCCACCTTGCCCTTCATACTGAAACCATCAGATGCACCTGAGATTTAAATGTAAAAACACCCAACTGTGAGTGTACCAGAACTTAACGTGGGGGAGGGGTCCTCTCTAACAAGATATAAAACCTAGAAGCCATTCAGGAAAAGACAGTGAGTTAGACCGGCCCTGGCTAGGTGGCACGTCAGGCCCCCGAGCTACAACACGTGCTCCCTGAGGACGAGGCTTTGCTGGAACCCGAGGCCGCAGGGAACAGTCACGGTCACTGGGGAAGTACCTGCCCAGCTGAAAAGACGGACAGGCGAAGAAAAGGGCCAAGGGGGCCGCCAGGCAGGCGGGAGCGCAGACAGACCGCTGAGACGCGCGAGGGGGGGAAGCAGGGGCAGGGCAGCGCCCTCGGAGGACAAGGCGTGATTATACCCGCGTGCTTCTATCTGAATGGGGGGCCCGAGGACCTGAACAGCAGGGAAGTCACCTCTGGGGAGCAGGCAGGGTATGGCGAGAGGAGCCAGGAGGCGGTGGGTGTATTTCTACTTGACTCCTTTCCTTCTGTTTGAAATTTCACCATGAGAAAGTCTTTTCTGATGCTAAAAACCAATGAACGACTTTTCAAAAAGTGACTAGCTCATGAAGACTGCATTCTCCGCACGGCCCAAATTCACACATCAAATTAATAAGCCCACCCCTTCTAAGGCGAGGTGTCAGCGGACCAGAGGGCGTGTCCCCGAGGGGCCGCAAGGGGGCGCAGGGAGGACATCCCCCGGCAGGTGGGAAGTAGGGCAGAGCTTGGGTCTGCTCCCTGCTGCAGCACCAGGGGCCTCCGGTCCCAGGTGCACACCAACCTCACAGAGGGGAAGGAGCGGGGCTGGGCAGGCAGACTCCCCGCCCTCGTCTCTCCTCCGGCGGCGTCAGCAGAGGGCCCTCAAGGGCTATGGCAAGGCTATCCGGACCTGTGGCACACGACACCTTCATGGGCACCCTTTGCTCTGGTCAGTTTTGCTGGCTATCAATTCCTGGCTCGCCAGGAAAATCTTTTCTAGAAAATCTCAATCACTCCATTTTCTCCCTGCATAAGCTCGGCCTTTGAAAATCCCGATTTCCCCCCATAGGTGCCTCAAGAATTCTTTTCCTTTTTTTGATGCAGCGCTTTTACGAAGAGGCTCCGTGATGCTGGTCGTCCTCGGGCACTTGCCCCTTCAATGCTGCCGGCTTGTCTTCTTCATTCACTCCCAGTCCTTTGAGCGCTGTCACCTTGTGTCTGGGCTTCTCTTTCTTTTTTCTAAATCCTCAAAACGAGAGGGAGAGATGGAGAGAGACACATCAATGTGACAGAGACACGTCGACCGGCCCTGACCAGGGACCAAACCGCAACCGACTGGAATCGAACCTGCGCCTCTGGTCTGCGGCGGACGCTCTGCCTGCTGAGCCGAACCGGCCAGGGCGCTCCTGGGCTTTTCCAGTCCACGTGCTCCTCTTCCGTCTCGGGTGTGTGTGTGGCAGGCTCCTCTCGTCTGCGGGGCATCGTTCTTCCTGCTCCTTATTCCCCACTTTGCGTGGACTTGACTGTGGTGCTTTTCTGATGCTCATTAAGTGTTTAAAAAACGTGTCCCTGTGCTTGAGCCCGGGTCTTCTCTCCTTCCTGTCCCGCGTCCTGCTTAAGCTTCATTCCACCCAGCATCTCCCCTTCACTAGAAGGGAGCCCTGGCAGGTCAGTCTGGGGACCACGGAAGGCCTGGACTGCTCCCACCACTCAGACCTCTCCACGGAAGCGCCCGGGAGGCACACAGCCCCGGCCTGGTCACCGTCGGGCTCAGACCGGCCACCGCGCTTCCCACCGGGCACCGCTGGCTCTGCTGGGGCCCTGCTCCCGGACACTCCACTGTTTAGCATGTGGGTCCCGAGACTACTGCGGTCTGTCCTCTATCTGGAGTCTACGGGACACGCCATCACCTAGTTTTGCTATAAATGACGCCCATGGGGTTTGCCGTGGTACAATGTGTAACTTGCCATTCTAACCACCTTAACACAGCTCAGCTGTCCGCGGGCGCAGGCTCTGCGGTCCAGCTGCTGTCTGCACGCAGGCTGCCACCACCGTCTGCCAGGAGCGCCAACGCCTCAAACACACTGGCCCACGGTGCAGCCCCGGCAGAACGGAGACGCCCCACGGCCCAGGCTCCCAAGGCCCAGGCTCCCAAGGCCCAGGCTCCCAAGGCCCAGGCTCCGTCAGCATGCTAGGAGACTGGCTGGAAGCACGTGTACTTATGGAAAACACCTCTGAGCGGTCCGGTGGCCCAACACGAAGGCACAAGGGCTGCCGTCTGAGATGTCCCGTTTCCCTGCGACACTCTGGCCACAGCAGGCACAGAGCTCACCAGGTGCTCAGTTGCCCCTGGCTGCCACCACGAGAATCTGCCGCCACCCGAAGGCTTGGGAAGAGCAGGCCTGACTGACGACAGGCGGACACACTAGAGCAGGAGGAGTTCCCTGCAAGCCCCTTCCCCTCGGGAACAGTCACTTCAGTGCTGAGGGAGGCAGGAAGCGTGTCAGCTGTCTCGACTTGGTGGGCAAACTCCTAACCCAGGCTGAGCCGGCCGTGCGGGCACACTCTCACACCACCTGCTCCCCACCCACGTCCCAGCCAGTCTCCTCGGCCAGCACCCACTGAGCACAGACGCTGAAATCGACGACTGGCAGCTGCGGACGGGAGGAGGCAGAAGTCGCTCTGGCCAGCTCCACCCGCAGGAGCCCCGCGGCCCCCCGCCCACCTGATCTGCGGAGGCCACCTGATGAAAGGAACCACCGCTACGAAAGAAACGCTGCGGCAGGCATCGTGTGGGACTCGTGTTTGACTCCGATCGTCAGAGTTCAAGGAAACGACCGCGTGTCTCCTGGAACAGGGACCGCGAACACCGGGCTCCGCCCCCGGCAGCCGCCTGGAGCCTGGAACCCCGGAACACCTACACGCAGGCTCCGGGGACCCTCCTGCTTCACCTCCACTCACGAACAAACCCTTCCAGGGACACATCACATTAAGACAAAGACTTTTTTCTTTAAACAGTTCACATTTATTATTGATAACAATAAAAAAATCTTGTAAAGACTATCAGCATTGTATTACCAAGAGTGCGGTAATATGTTTACAAAACACAGAATCCGATATGTAAATAACGCATTTCGGGAGAAGAGTGAGTAAGACACTAGTCGTGGAGGGAACGGAAAGAATCCTCAGTGCCGGGAAGGCAGAAGGCCCGCAGGGCAGCCCAGGAGGGGCGCCGCGGGGCCCAGGCACGCCCGCGGCTCCCAGAGCGCAGGGTCCTTGGCGAGCGGCCCTGCACTCTGGACGCCCACAGGCGCGCTCCACTCTGGGGTGCGGCCCTGCCGCTTCTCAGTCACTAGAAAGAACAGGTCTCCGGGCTGGGGGAGGGGAATGGCTGTGATTCAGACAGTCCTACAACTTCCCTGGCTGGTGTGCAGTGGACGGAAGGGCTCTCGGCAGCTGTCAGCAAAATCGCCATCTGAGACAGAGAGAGAGAGAGAGAGAGAGAGAAAGAGAGAGAGAGAGAGAAAGAGAGAGAGAGGAGGGACCAACTTCAGGTCCTCATAACTTGGAAACAGGAAGCAGACTGGAAGCAGCAACCAACCCCACTGTGCTTCCTGGGAAGGAGCCTCTGGTGCCAGTGAGGAGCTGCTCCAGGAGGCGGGACCACGGGAGCCCACGGCGTGTGCGGGAAGGCACCGCGTCCCTGACCAGGCGCGAGGGCTGCTCCACTCGCCCGGGCCGCCCGGCACCTCCGCTCCGGGCCGCACACATGCTCCACAAAGCTCTCCAGCCCCACGGACACCCACTAAAGCCTTCAGAGCAGACTGACACCCACAGCCCAGAACTTCGGTGCCCGTCACACAGTGGTACCAACTGTGTGGGTCTCAGCGTGCGGCTGCAGAAGCACACCTCTGCCGTGCCCACCGCCACACACCACGTCTATTGTGGAGACAAACCCGGTGCAACATCCAGACAGATTCGCAAGTAACTGCTTTTCCTGTGAAAAGCCGAAAAGTGAGGGCCAATACGAGACAGACCAGTCTTTGTAAGTGGGAAAAAAAGAAAATGTAGAAGACAACCCAATCCCCTATCTGCTGTGCTTCCATGAAGAATCCTGGTATCGGGACCAAGTCCTGCTTCCCGCAGCCACCAGCCCCACGCCGCCACGCCCACCAGTCCACTTCCTCCCGGACACAGGGCTCCCACAAGCCACACGCTATCCTCAAGTGGCCACACCGAGTGACATCGCTGGTTATTGAAAGTGAACACCGGACAGTTTCAAAATGGTCAATGTGACCGACTACTCGAAATATCCTTCTAGTGAGGAGGAGGACCATCTGGGCTGACGCTACGCAGCTCTGGGGGGTGCAGGTGAGAGAGACCTGGAAGGAGCTCAGAGCTCAGAACCACCACGCGCAGCAGGAAGAGCAACAGGCCAGGAGGAGAAGGGGAAGGAGGCCCGCAGCCCAAGTTCAAGCACAGGAAGACCCTGTCCTGCAAGCATCAGTGAGATGTGAAAAGGAGGAACAGACAACCGTGTTTAATGATGGTGGTGTTTTCCTGGCGTCGAGGAGCCCCTGGCCCACCAGCACCCACTTGAGAACCGCAGATCCATCTGGCCTGGAAGCCGGACTGTGGGCTCCCACAGGCCGCCTCTCAGTCCCTCCGACTTAAGCGGCGTCTGCTCTAAGGCAGCTAGCAGGCTGTCACTCAGTCCGTAGCTGGGTCGACTAAGAGAAGGTGAGCACTGCAGCTGGGGAGCAAGGTGGCAGCTTCGCTCCAGGAGGAAGGTGGGGTCACCTCTGGAGGACGGTGCAGGAATCATGGACAGCATGGAGGTTATCCAAACATTTTTTGCATCAACACTTGAGACAAAGTCAACCTCTTAATTGGTATATAAACTACTTCCTTTCGAGATAGCCCTTGTGCTCTGGTTGGATTTTGTGCACACTGTATACAAAATCTATGGCTATGAGTCAGAGTTAAAGCTACCTGTCGATAGTTCGGGGTCAGGAACTACAGCTACCGTCTCGGGCTATCTGCTACCTAGGGGTGAGGAGTCTGCACTGTGCCGCCGCGTGGCTGGAGCTCGGGCTGTCGGAGGCGGCGGCGCGGCACTACCTGGAAACCATGGAGCTGGAGTGGGACTGGCTGGAGGACGTGGTGGCAGCGCTCAGCTGGGAGAACCCGCTGTGGCTGGACTCCAGGCTGGTCATAGAACCTCTGCAAAGGGCACAGAGAGGGTGCGGTGAGGACCAGGAGCCGCCCAGCTTTCCTCACTGCTGACTCCCGTGCTGCTCTCCACACCCCGCCCTCAACAAGCTCCCTCCCCTGCCCCATCCCCATCGGCACTTGCAAAGCAGGACAGCGGGCAGGGTCCCCAGGGACGAGGTTGCCCTCAGCCCTTGCACCCAGAGGCACCGTGAATGATGAGGATAAACGGCCAGAAGCCACTCCCCTGCACCAGCCCGTCCTTGCTGAGCCTCCTGCGCCGTGCCCGGAGCCGCACCTGAAATCCTCGGACCCGATCACTTCGGTGTAGTACATCACTTTGCACTTGTGAGAGGAGACCTGCAGGGAGGCCAGCACGTCGTCCACCCGGGGCAGGTTGGTGGCGGCACACGCTGGCATGCTGTGGAATCTCCACTGCAGGATGTAGAAGCCCGGCCACCTCGTCACGTGGGAGCCCTGGAACGAGCCAGGCAGGGCGGCTGAGGAGGTCTCCCTCCCGAGTCCCTGCCCTGCCGCGGTCTGACGAAGCCAAGGGAGCCGACTACGGTCTCTCGGATCCAGCAGTGGGCCCTGACCATCGGGGGGGTGAAAGACCTGCTACTTTGGTTCACTGCCCGGGCCAGTCCCCGCCAGGCCTCTGCTAGGTGCTGGGAAGGCCACGGGAGGGACGTTCTGAGGCTGCTGCCCAGGGGCCTGGCATGGCCTGATGGGGAGGAAGGCCAGGACAGAGGGCTCAAGCGGGCCCTTCACTGGACCTTTGGGGGGGGGTCACAAAGGTCATCTGGAATGCTCTCTGACATGCTTCCAATGATCTTTCTAGCATATTCTGTGTCAAAAGGATGTCCCTCTAAAACCAAATAACCTGTGAAAATCACCTCCTGCGTTAATTCTGCAGCTGACGACTGCGCTGCAGCTCAGAACGACCTTGTTTGACTGAGTGAGACAGTTCTTTGCTCTCTGCTTCTAAGACCGAGACCTGACAGGCTCATCCCTAAACACTGCAAAGCAACAAGATGACGCGTCTGTCATGAAAGCCTGAAGCACCTGAGAACCGCCACTCTGGGACACACTCTCAAACAGCTGGCTGCAGCTGCACCAATGCCTGGGGCGTTTGGAGTAGCCCAGAATGCCCGGTGCAGATGACCGTCACCCACGTACTCGTCTCCCTCGCTTCTGTGTGCGTGATCTCCTGGGAAGGAGACAAACGGCCCGGGCCGCGGAGGAAGTCCCTGAACTGCAGCTGCGTGCACACGCAGCGCCAACCTCCCTCCGGCCGCTGCTGTGAACACACTTCTAAAGAAACACACGCTCCAGACACAAGTCATGGATCCTGTCCAGCACTGCTCAGGCCCGAGCCCTGTGTCTCCTTGAGCCATTCTGAGCGGAACTGGAACCAGACACCTACGGTCTCCCAGACAGGCAGTGACAGCCACGCAGCGCAGGATGAGGTGACGGCCTCCCTTCTCAGGACAAGACCATGAGCGAGGAGGCAGTTACCTGCACGCTCTCTCCTTCCTTGCAGATCAGGGGCGACTCCACCATGCTGTAGTCCCGGCCCAGCTGCCAGAGCCTGTCTATGAGCTGCACGTTGTTGCCCCCTGGAGAGGTGATGCTGTGCGCCCCCAGCGTGTCCTTCTTGGGAGGCTGTGGCGACCTCTTGGAGTGATAGATGTTGAAGACAATGTCCCCTTTGCACACATCAAAGTCCCAAGTGATCACCGAAGAGGCGTCCACAATCTGAACGAGAATCTGGGAGAAGAGGGGAAGCTCATCACCACCGAGGTACGCTGGGGGACAGTCGCGTCCAGCGGCGGGTCCCCCCCCATTCACAGCCAGCCGTCCAGGCTCCCGCCGCTCTTCCCTGGTCACCACTGGTCCCTGCAGCCCGGGCCTGCTCTGCGCTCGGCCCCGCGGCCCCAGGGCTCTCCCGCGCGGCCCAGGGCGATGCTGATGCTGGGCCCCAGCTACTCAGACGGTTTCAACGACACAGAACGGCTGTGAGTCAGGACGGCTACAGGTGGGCCGGGGATGGCCCGGGCTGGTGAGCTCAGGGAAGGCCCAGAGCAGGTGCCAGTTACACAAGGAGCACAGGGAGGAGGGAGGGCGTGTCCCTGCCAGGCAGGCACCTCCGCTCACAGTGGGACAGTGGCAGCCAGCAGGGTGGGAGGAGGGGAGACATGTGGCATGGGGGTGGGGAAGAGCCAGGGGTTGAATGCCAATTTAAAATCTGCACTTTATACGGCGCCCACAAAAAGCTTCCCAACAGGAATGATCAGTTATTGTTTCAAAAGATTACTGTGGGAGGGACACGGGAATTAAAACCAGCTGTGGAGAGTTACGTAGTCACTAAAGAATCCCAGCAGAGGCCGGGGCCTGTGGGCTGCTGGGGCCGTACGCGGCCCTCCCCAGCGCCCCGAGCCCGCCCTCCGCTGGCGTCCCCAGCGCTCTGCTGTGTCGAGTGGGCCTTCTCCAATCGCACCGCCGCCCTTTCTCTGCTAATACACCACTGAAGTTCCTGAGAGCGGGTTCCACATAGCACAAGGGTCATGTCCAAGGGCAGTGGTGGCCCTCATGACTTGGCCCACTCTTTCTTCTGCGAAGCGGCTCTGAGATGCTGACCCTCAGCTGACAGGCACCCTGCCTCCTGGGACACTGAACTCAGCCTTCGCTTTAGAGCTTCCGCGGTCCTTGTCTTGTGCTTTAAAACCCGGAGCGGAGCCCTGGCCGGTGTGGCTCAGTGGTTAGAGCGTCGGCCTGCGGTCCAGAGAGACCCGGGTTCGGTTCCCGCTAAGGGTGCGTACCTCGGTTGCAGTTTGTCCCCGGCCCTGGTTGGTCGTGTGGGTGGCAGCCACTCGACGTGTCCCTTTCGCGTCGATGTTTCTCTCTCTCTCCCTCCCTCCCACTCTATCTGAACAAAAAATAGAAAAAATGTCCTCGGGTGAGGATAACAAAAAAAAACCGGAGCGAAAATGAAGTGCTGACTGTTGTGACCAGAAGCCTGGCTGCCCACTGTCACAGCTCCCCTGCGACTCTCAAGTATATTCTGCCAGAGTCCTCTACCCTGGATAGCAGAGCAGACAGACAAGAGCTCGGCCTCCAAATCCAGAAATACGACGAATCCTCAGGACGCAGCCACGCAGACGAGAGCCCTGCAGCCGACTGACCGCTCCACGCCTTCATCTCATTCGCACACAGCGGCAGTACCCACTACGGCCAGGCCCCACCGGAGACCCAGCAGCAAGGACAAACGCTGGTGGCCCAGTGGGCAGCGGCATGGCAGGAAGCAGTAGGCTCAGCTCCTGGCCACCGCCACAGGTCGGAGCTGGCAGAGTGCTGTCCTCTCCACGACCGAGCCTCAGCCCTCGTGCCGGGCTCAGGAAGGGCAACTCAGCTGCGAGTCCTCACCCCTCAGGCCACCCACGATGTCACAGGACACAGTGCACGTGAAGATACAGAAAGACCCTTGCTTCTGCACCAGTGTGACAGCAAAAGGGAAAATTTCTCACTCCATTAACCAGGTAGAATGGAGAGATTCCTTTAAAAATATAAATAACCAAAACCCAGTCAACAATAAACGGAAAATGAAACTGGTCCCACGTAACCCTAACTAAAGTGAACTGAAGAGCGGGCCTCTGGCGCAGCTCCTCTCGACCCGAGATGCTGTGCAACAAAGTCCGAAGACCAAGCCCGGCCGAAGCACTGGATTCTGAACAAACTGCTGCTGGGAGATCCACTGACAGACCCCGTGGGAGAGGAAGGACCCAGCACCCCTTGCGTGTCCCGGAGGGCGCACCTCGTGGGGGGCTCCTTTGAAAACGCTGGCGGACTGGTAGATGGTTTCGGTGCAGAGCCTGAGGTCTTCGTTTTCCAGCTCCTCCGCAGTCCGGTACAGAGACTTGGGCACCAGCCCGCCCTCCGGCACTTCACACTGCAAGTGGAGACACAGCGATGAGCGTGGGGCCACCACCAGCCCTGAGCATCGAACACGGCCCAGCACCAGCGCTTGGCAAGGCCGCTCGGAAGCCGCTGAGGAAACGGGAAACGCTGGCCATGTCATCAAGCCTGCAGTACTCAGCAGAGTAACATCTAAAACCCACTTAAACACATGTGTTTGGCTTTACATAAATGAGAACGAGCTGAAGCTGATTTAGCAAGGAATTCACACGATGCGTGTGAGGTGCTGGACTCAATCACCACCGCTGGTGTGCAGAAGGACTACTAAGATTTATACTGCACCATGAAGGGAAAACACTGCGTTAAGAAAGGGGTTTAGCCCTGGCCAGTTTGGCTCAGTGGTTGAGCGTCAGCCTGCGGACCAGAGAGTCCCAGGTTCGGTTCCCACTAGGGGCACGTACCACACCAAAAAAAGGAAAAAAAAGAAAGGGGTTTATTCTCAGCAGCCACAGGCATTATTTTTATTATATGCAATTACAGTCATATGTGATCAGCAACGAAAGCTTCACGTCTACCTTTAGTCAAATGATCAGTCTGTACCATTAGATAAAAAGTATCAAAGGAGAGCTGCTCCCGCATCTTCCTGAAGCGGGCTGAGCTGAACCGGAACTGACTGACCTGACGCAATGACTTCACACCACGGCTCGTGACACCCAAGTGCTGCCTGTCATCAGCCCTGGGAGGCGACCACAGAGAGCAAACAACGGAAACTGTCAGTGAGGACGTCACGCTGGCAGACTTCATGCTGGGGGTGGGGGTAAGCCCTCGCGCAGGGAAGCGAAGTGACACCAGCCGGGACAGCAGAGTGGAGAGGAAAGCCAGAGGGTGGTGGCCTCCATCAGTCATGAGGACTCCACAGTGACCACATCATGGTGGCAGTGCCACAGATACAGGCACCGCTGGCCGCAAGTCCAGCCGGCTCCAGCGTGACCCTTCCCGTCCTCACTGAGTGCCCACGTGGATGGCCCTCTTATGTAACGTTAAGTCGCGTGGGGGCTCCTACAGTCCTGACCTCAGGTTCAGGTCGTGAGCACTGGGAAGTGAGGCCCTGTAATGACCCTGCTTGCTCCGTGCATGGCACTGTGACCACCTGCACTTCCTCACGGCAGGACCGATGAACTCGGAGCTGAACCTAAATGCTGTTTCATTTCCTGTAACCATCCAGGAAGACCTTCCTGAAACCCCAATGCATTAGCTAATCACGAGTCAGATCCATGTGCACACACCTTGACACCACTCTATCTGTGTGAAGAATGAGAGACAGCCTTTCTAAGAACCCGACCGATGAGCCACGACTCCCTGCTGGCTTCAGTTGTCACTCCGGCGGGTCGCGGGACCTCGGCAGCCTCCTGGTCCCTCACCACGGACAGGGCAGAAAAGTGGAGGCATCTGCCTGATAATCTAGCCACTCGATGTTAAAAATCCCAACGACATCAAAGAGAACGAATTCTCTCAATTTATCCCCTTTAAAATGATATCCTGATTTACTGTCAATGGGGAAATCTCTTTGAGAATCACTTTGATTTTTAAAGTGTTTTTTAAAAATGCACAGCTCCTCCAAAACAGTTAAAAAACCTGATTCAGTAAGACAAGCATATATGATCTCACTCATATGTGAAATCTAATGAACAATAAACTAACATCCGATTCACACGAAGCTAAGTGAATAAAGCAAACCGTGATTAGATTCCAAGACAAGTTCTCACTTGTATTTAACAATGAGGAAATACGCATGCTATCAAAAATTACCTAAACAGCGGATCTAGCCAAAAATAATAAAAAACAAAAACAAATAATCCAAACTAAAAGTTTTGAGAATCACTTGTGCAAACCAACGCCCACCTCCGGCCAGCCCCCCGCCAGCGCTCCGGCCAGCCCCCCGCCCCAGCGCCAGCAGCGTGTAGAAGCCAGGCCGGGCCGGGCCGGGACCCACCATGCACTCGCCGCCCAGGAAGTCGGGGATGACCTCCTTGTCGATGTAGTCCAGCAGGCCGCCGGGGCCCTGGTAGTCGTTCCCCGCGTAGATGAGGAACTTCCTCCTGGTGTTGTCATCGATGAACGGACTGACCTGTGAGTACGAGACAAGCCTGCAGTCACCTTTGCTTGGCAGGCTGATTTTCAGAGACTAGATTACAACATGATGATATTATCAGTGTGGGACAGGGAACGTATGATACACGTTTTTTGTCTAATCCATTTGCATGATGTTAGGATACTCAGATTCTTTCTTCTCTTAGAAACAGTTTGAGAAATGTTATATCCTTGCAAATTAACTTTGATGTTTCCTAACCGCTAGGAGTTCAAGTCACAGACGCGAGGACGTGCCTGCAGGCCTGTGTGCCTGACAAACGCTAACAGTGGCCGGAAACAGCGCCTAACCCACCAGTGTCCAGAGCACAGGAAACACCCGGGGGGCCCGCAGGATCAGCAGGCGGCCCAGCGTCTCAGGATAGTTGGCCTCCACCACCTCGATGATGCGCAGCAGGGCCTTGACGCCGGGTCTCCACAGGTGGCGCATGTTCAGGCCCTCCAGGTCCACCAGGCAGGTCCAGGAACTACGGGTGCACAGACGTGTTACTCCAGACAGCACACTTAGCAAGCTGGGTCCCATGACTACTTTTTTGATATTATAAAATAGTCATTTACACCCACTTCCAAAAGTCTCAGTTTTTAAAAGGACACTGTTATGAACTAGACTGGTATGTGCCCGTACGAGGCATGTAGGGTCCACCCGGTGGGACCAGCCCTGCACGTCCACAGCATCAGTGGCGAACACGCCTGGCAACCCAGCCCGAGGCTCAGGCGCGGTGACTGGTGAGCCGCCGGGCCGGCAGGCCTGTGCTGCCGCATGTGGCTGCGAGCTGTAGTGCGCCCCTCACAAGGGCTGGGAGGCAGGCACCGTCTCTCTCGGGAGCTGAGACGGCAGCGGGAACAGCCCTCAGAGCCCTGCCCGCGGGACCATCTGCACACACCCTTCCGGGTCGACCTCTGGGTCACTGCACGTTTTCAAAACGGTCCACCGTGCCTAGCAGTATGATTTAGGAACACGGAATAATTTTTTTTACCGCCTTCTCCACAAAACACACAGACATACACACACACACACACACACACACACACACACAACCCAGATAAACCCTAACCTGCAACCCTGGGTTCCCAAGGGCCGTGCAGACCAACCAGACAGGCCAGCCACATCCAGGGGGTTAGAAACACCCAAATCCAGCAACGTCCCCCACAACTGCCACATTGCATGCTCATCTACTTTCCACCTTTTAGAACACCACAGGAAACAGTCAACTATTTAGACTTGGTTCTAAAAATCAGACCAGATTTGGGTCTAAAGAGCGTATTGTGGTCTCAATACGTTGGGAGGAAAAGCAAAGCCGCACGTCTACCTGATGGGCCGGCCGAAGACTTTTGTGTTCTCTTCGCACCGTCTGAGCCCCTCCTCGTTGATGGACAGCACCTGTGGATCAAGGCCACACACTCCCTGTCAGCTGAGATGGTGCCACTGCCGCATCAATGACACAGCACACTGGAGGTAGGCATGGAAACCGAAGTCCCGTTTACACCTTCTGATACACACAGAACACATCCCCAACAGAGATCTTGCTCTCGGGAAAGTGTGTCCTGCCCTGGCCGGTTTGACTTCAGCGGTTAGAGTGTCGGCCTGCGGTCCAGAGAGACCCGGGTTCGGTTCCCGCTAAGGGCATGTACCTCGGTTGCAGTTTGTCCCCAGCCCTGGTTGGGTCGTGCGGGTGGCAGCCACTTGATGTGTCCCTTTCACGTCGATGTTTCTCTCTCTCTCTCTCTCTCCCCCTCCCGCTCTATTTGAACAAAAAATGAAAAAAATGTCCTTGGGTGAGAATTGAAAAAAAGAAAGTGTGTCCTGTGCTCTGCGGCAGAAGGGACAGGTAGCCGAGCGGGCCAGTTAGGAGGAGGCACAGATGTGCAGGGAGGGTGTGGCCTGCGGCTGCATCTTCAGGACAAGCTCCTCTAGGACAGTCGGAGTGGGGGACAGTGACACCACAGGTACCAGCCGAGAGAAAGGTGCTGTCAGAACTGACTGGAAGCAGAGCTGCAGGGAACACCGACAGCACATCTCCCCACGCACAAGGGGCCCGCGCACATCTCCACGATCCTCCATTTGTGCACGAGGACGTGTGTGCAGGCAGTACAGGCACACAGGGGCCCACGCACACCTCCATGATGCTCCGTTTGTGCACGAGGACGTGGGTGCTGGCAGTACAGGCACACAGGGGCCCACGCACACCTCCATGATGCTTCGTTTGTGCACGAGGACGTGGGTGCTGGCAGTACAGGCACACAGGGGCCCACGCACACCTCCATGATGTTCCGTTTGTGCACGAGGACGTGCGTGCTGGCAGTACAGGCACACAGGGGCCCACGCACACCTCCATGAGGTTCCGTTTGTGCACGAGGACGTGCGTGCAGGCAGTACAGGCACACAGGGGCCCACGCACACCTCCATGATGCTCCGTTTGTGCACGAGGATGTGCGTGCAGGCAGTACAGGCACACAGGGGCCCACGCACACCTCCACGATGCTCCGTTTGTGCACGAGGATGTGCATGCAGGCAGTACAGGCACACAGGGGCCCACGCACACCTCCACGATGCTCCGTTTGTGCACGAGGATGTGCATGCAGGCAGTATAAGCACACTGTGGGGGCTAACAGAACCCACAACAAATGCCACAGTGGGTGTTTTAGGGTGAGTGGATTATAGGTGCACCTTTTAAAGCTTTTGTTCATTTTTTTTAACTTAAGGACTGTATTCCCCACCTCACAGCTGCCCACACTGTGGAGGCTGCAGTGGCAGGGGAGTCTCGAGTCGGGGACAGGGGAGGAGGCATTTATGTAGTCCAGGCAAAAGCTGCTAGGAACCTGGATTAAGGACGTGTCCGTGGAAAGAATATTATGAAGAAGTCTGATTTTAGTTTTGGTTTCTTTGTTAATCCTCACCCGAGGATATTTTTCCATTGATTTTTGATAGAGTGGAAGAGGGGGAGAAGGGAGAGAGAGAAACACTGATGTGAGAGAAATACATCAATTGGTTGCCTCTGCAAAATCCCGACTGGGGCCAGGAATTGAACCTGTAACTCAGATACGTGCCCTTAACCAGGAATTGAACTCATGACCTTTGGTCCGCAGGCCAACGCTCTAACCGCTAAGCCAAACCAACCAGGGCAAGAGGTCTGGTTTGCAAGACATCTCAAGAGGAGAGTTAGGATCGGAGGGTAAGGACCAGTTCACTGTGGGCGTGAAGGTCAAAAGCAACTCAGAATCCACTCCCGCCCAGGGAATCATCTTGAGGGTTACAGTGATTTTCTGGCTGAGGCTTCCCCATGAACAACATTTTTATAACTTCTGTGCCCGCTTTTAACATTTTTCACATAAACCAACAGATTATCCTTTCTGGTTACAAATGCAACGCATGCTGGTTATGACAGTGTGGGAGACCATTTGCATGGCATCCATCTTGTTAGTCTGCTCTGCTGTCTCCGGCCCAGGGCGGGGTCTCTCTGCATACAGTGTCTGCATTCCTCTAGATAACTGTTTACTCCATTCTTAGCATCTGTTCCACCTGGGGTATTTACTGGAATTTGCTTCAGGTGGGATACTCATTAACTGTTTCACCTGTTTTGCCCCTATATATAATGTGAACTCCCCCTGAATAAACGAGACTTGATCAGAATCCTGTCTTGTCTCCACTTCTCTTGTCCCTCCTCATCCTCACTCCCCTTCTAGAGTCCTCGTTGCTCGACCTGCGGGACGGGTCATGACAGGACAATGTAAAGTCCCAACCCCACTGTCAGAAAGGAAGTGAGGCCTAAATCACTTACGTATCTCAGCAGGGCCTCCTCCCCGAGGGCTCTCACCAGGCCTTTGGTGTCCATCTGCCCCAGCCGGAGCACGTAGAGGGGCCGCCCATCTGCAGGAGAGAAGGCGAAGGCACATCATCACCAGCACCAGGCTTGCCGCAAGGCCCACAAAGGACCGCGCTCGTCCTGCGGGGGAGCTTCCGGCTCTTTCCTACTGAGCAGCAGCCGCTGGCTTGTGTGCACCGGAGCCCCAGCCCCCAAAACAGCCGTGGTCCGTCCCGGATGAGATGCGGCGCACGTCTCACGGCGAGCGCAGGTCTAGGCCTCTGAGGAGCTCCTGTACCAGCACTGTGCTCCGGAAACGTGCGCCTTTGGCGTGTTGGTTGTTTAAGTGCGTCCAGAAACTCCACTTAATTAAGAGAGGAATGAGTAACTTGCAGAAAGGCAACGTGGGCCCCAGACAGCGCATGAAGATGCAGACAGCGCGGCCCTGCCTCACACTCCCGGGGAATTTTGGGGGGTCACCGGTGCAATGCTGGCTGTGATGACATGGACAGTTTGTCCAGGGGGCGAGAGGGGAGAGACAACGCACTCAAGGGCCCACTTGGTTCTGTGGAAAGAAGTCTCGGAGCACGCCTGATTGCCAAGTTCACACGTTACCTTTGTCATGATGGTGCCAGCCTCCTGCATAGTAGTCCTGGAGGACCTGGGGTGGGTTCCAGGTGTCGAGGATGTAGTCCACCTGGTGCTGCTTCCGCCAGGTCAGAGACTGGCACATGATCTCCCTGGCTTTGTCAATATTGAAGTCCCGGGCACGTAAGAACCGGAGAATATGCTCATCTTTGGGGATCTATTGAGAGAAAGATGTTTCTAAGCAATTTTAAAAGTTGCGAAGGGGAAAAAAAACGTTACCAAGGGAATAAGATTCGCAAACTCTCATTTCCTATCAAGAGTGGGCTGCGTTGCTGTGCTGTTCATAGTCAGCCTTCCTTACGCCCCAGAAAACCAGCAGGCCCAAGTGGTCCGTACAGCACCCCACCTCGTCTCAGCAAAGCAGTGAAGGCAGCGAGAACTTCTTAAATACCAAATGCTTCAAAACTCATGGAGCTGATCTATGCATCACTGGGATCTGTGCACTTTTCTCTCTGTGTGTGTGTATCTTTAACAAGTCAGAAAACAGTGCTGGTTTCGCTGACGGTGCTGCTAGCACACAGGACCCTTCTCTAGACAGATTCCACATTGACAATCGATAGGGTGCCTCCTTGAGTAAAAAGCAAGGCCAAGACCGTGCCTGAGCTCACAGGACCTGCTGTCTTCCTCCACGGCCACACACTCACTGATGCACACAGCCTGTCCACAGAGGAGCGAGAGTGGGAGCTGGAGCCTAACTACCCACTCCTGGGAATAGCACTGGGGTGGCACTCAGAAAGGGCCTGTGACATGGAGGTGGTTAAGAATGGCCTGACTCGCCCTGGTCAGTTTGGCTCAGCAGTCAGAGTGTCAGCCCGCGAACCAGAGAGACCGGGTTCGTTCCTCCTAGGGGCACGTACTTCGGTTGCAGTTTGTCCCCAGCCCTGGTTGGGGTTGTGTGGGTGGCAGCCACTCGATGTGTCTCTCACATCAATGTTTCTCTCTCTCTTCTCCTCCCTCTCTCCTTCCCGTTCTATCTGAAAATAAATGCAAAAAAAAAAAAAAAAAGTCCTTGGGTGAGGATTAAAAAAAAAAAGAAAGGCCAGGCCTCAAACCCTGGCCCCACCACTCACTAGCTGAGACCTTGAGCAAATTACACAACGTCTCTGTGTACGTGTGTCCTGGTGTGTACGACAGGGGTGGCAAAGCCCACGTCCGCCTCACAGGGCTGGAGGGATGTAAGACAGTGCAAGGAGAGGGTGTGTGGTCAGCACACAGGCGGTAGCCAGTGGTCCTGCGGCTGTGTTCTCAAGAGCTGACACGAAGCCCTCAGACAGCTGGGCTGCAGTAACCAAGAGGGACACAGCCAGAGGCCCTCTGCACGCGCCACCAGTCAGCGGGCCAGACACACAGACAAGCCTCTGCGCACTGCAGTCCCCGTTAGGCTGAGGCTCGTCACAAACCCGGCTCCTCGCGAGCCTCAAGCTCTGCCCGGACGTCAGATCTAAGCCTGAGCATCTCTCACCTCTGAACGGCCTGTAGCTGCCCAACCCTCTACACGTGCAGTTTTCCAGCGAGATCAGTCTGTGAACCAGAATAAGGGCACCACAAGCTGCCACGAGGGACTCGTGCCACGCAGAGACAGACACAACTTCTGTTAGACTGGAAGGGACAGTCCCAGCTACGGCTCGGGAGCCCCCCGAGGGACTGTGGACGGGCCGGGCCCGGCGTGCCCACAGCAGCACAGCCCCACTCACTTTGCCCTTGTGGGTCTCCTGGAGCCACTGGCGCAGGCGGATCAGACAGCTCTCCTGCAGCGGGGTCAGGTCGCCCAGGTATCTCTTGATGTAGTCTGCATCCAGTTTGTCTGAAACAGAAGGCGCATGACGTCATTTACAGTGAGCACACCGGAACCCTGAGTATTCCAGGAACTCAGGGACACTGCAGGGACCACACATGAAACCAGCCACCCCAGGACACCTCAAGAATGGCCTTTAAAGCCCAATCACTGACCAAGCCACAAGTGAACTTGCTGAATCTGTCACATTCCTTAACTGCCAGCAGGTCCCCTCTGTTTGTGAAATCTCAATACTATTCATGATAGAATGATGCCATGACAGATATTTATGACTTTTAATTCAAAGTTCTATCAAGAAATTACATGATATAAAATCATGAAATAAAACAAACAAATGGGCCCTGGCCGGTTTGGCTCAGTGCTTAGAGCATCAGCCCACGGATCAATGAGTCCCGGGTTCGATTCTGGTCAAGGGCACGTACCTCGGTTGCGGTTCGTCCCCAGCCCCGGTCGGGTCATGCAGGAGGCACCCCGTCGATGTGGCTCTGTCACATCGATGTTTCTCTCTGTCTCTCTGGCCCTGCCTCCCACTCTATCTAATAACAAGCAGAAAACATCCGCAGGAAAGGCAGCCCAGCCCAGCAGCCAGCCGCAGCCCTGCCAGGCGGCCGTGACTCCAGCGAGCTGCTCAGCTTCTCGGTGCCTCGGGGAGCATTTCCTACCCAGCAGGAACCGTGACTAACAAGTGCTCACAAAGAGCGCAGGACAGTGCCTGGCACACGGCACACGGACGTGACGCTGAGAGCGCTGTGCTGAAGTCACCGGCTGCTACCCCCATTCAGCAAAGGTGCCCTCAACTACAACAAAAGGAAAACTCTTCCTGGTGTCCTAACTTCACACACCCTTTCTGCTCAATAACAACAATTCTAAGTGTCTTCCTTCGAGAAGACGTGAAGTAAGTGTGCTCTAAGCTAGAGGAGGACCAGCACTGAGCTCCGTTTCTATCACGTGATGATGCTGAGGTCCTAGGGGACCAGAGCGGGCAGGGTAACCAGAGAGGAGGCGCCGGCACATCCTCGGCTCGTCCTGCTCTCAGAATGAACCCACCGTCGGGGGCTCCCCCGGCGGGCTCAGAGGCCCCACTCGGGTTGCTGAGGGGCTCGCTGCTCAGCCCTTCCTTCTGCGCAGCTTCTGGGACCACAACAGCCAGCGACGCTGCTCGCTTCCGGCAGGACTCGGACCGCTCTGCGGAGGGCACGAGGGAGGGCGGGGCCCAGCGGGGCACAAAGGTGATGCCCTCTTCTTCTAACTGATGAAGGTAGTATTCTATGATTTCTTTTCCCTTTAAAACAAAACCAATTTTAAGGCGAGCATATACTTACATCCCTCACAGGTTTTCATGAAACTAACCCAAACTGAATTGCTTTAGAATAAATAGGAAAGAGTCAAATGTCTTCGCATTTTTGTTTTTCATATTTTACTCCCTCTTCTCCAAAGGCTAAGAAATGACAGCTAAAGAGACAGAACCTGTGCTGCGTCTCAATCCAGACTCTTTCCCAAGCCCCCCTGAAACAGCCTTCAGCACCTGACCCAGCTTCCGCGAGGAGCAGCAGCAGAGTGAGAGCAAGCTTCCCACGGCAGACGGCCCCCGCGAGCCCGGCGGGCCCTGGGCGCTGCCCGCTGTGCCTCCTGCAGAGGCAGCACCTCCCAGCAGCAGATCCTGAGGGGTGAGCTGCTCCTGCCTCACCCCAACTTTCACCCTCCTGGCAAGTCCAAGCCAAGAACGCATGGCCCTGTAGCTACAGGCTCCTGCTTACTTCACCGGCGACCAGCATTCCCTGAACCCCATCTAGCCCCCCACTCCTGGGATCTAAGGCGGGGGGCAGAGCAGCTCCTCCTGGAGAAGTGGCTGGGACCCCTGACTACCCCCTTCCCAGCCTCCCAGAAGGACTGCCAGCTCGAGTCGCCCAGGGACGTCTGCCCACCCTTTCCCGTAAACCCCAGACAGACTCACTTTTTTAATGTTGCTGGTATATTGTTTCATTGCGATTTTCTCTACCGTACTTTCAAAACCAAAGAAAGATTTAATATCTAAACTTGCAGACTGTTCAAAACAGGTCCAATCTTCATTTTCAGGGTGAACCTGCAGGTAAATGAGAAAACATTCCATTAACTAAATGACAACTGGGATCATCCATCTGTTCCTCAACCAACTGGTCACCAGAAAAAACGCTCACATTACTAAGAATGTTGTTATCATGAAAGCAGCAGATGGAAAAATTACATACAGAGAGATTCAAAATCACACACACACACACACGATTTCTAAAACATTCTAAAAATGACTTGGCAAGGAGAGCATCACTGTCATGCCTGGCTCCCTCGCTCCGTCGCCGTGCTTCCTGAGCAGCGTGCCCATCACACACAAACCGAGACCCCGGGCGTGTGCAGCGCACAGCACAGGAGAGACCGTCACAACACACAGGCACAAAACTGTACAAAGCTGTGCCACTGCAGGAGGGTGAGTGTTACAGAAAAAAGAAAAGATGGAGCAGGGTTCAAACAAGTGGGGGGCAGGCTGCAGAGCTCAGCAGGGTGTTCAGGGCTGGCTTCATCAGGAAGGGACATCTAAGCAAAGATGACGGAGGTGAGGGCAGGAGGCAAGCAGAGGACAGGCAGAGTGCTCCTGGCAGAGGGGACCCCGGAGCAAAGACCAGCGGAGGTGCGCCCACGTGGTCGGGAGCAGCCAGTGGAGCAGGGCCTGTGCACAGGGCAGGCAGGGAGCAGTGAACGGAGAGGCCGGGGAAGGAGGCAGGGTGAACGGAGAGGCAGGGTGAACGGAGAGGCAGGGTGAACGGAGAGGGTGGGGGAGGAGAGGCAGGGTGAACGGAGAGGGTGGGGGAGGAGAGGCAGGGTGAACGGAGAGGCAGGGTGAACGGAGAGGCAGGGTGAACGGAGAGGCAGGGGAAGGAGCGGCAGGGTGAACGGAGAGGGTGGGGAAGGAGAGGCAGGGTGAACGGAGAGGCAGGGTGAAGGGAGAGGGTGGGGAAGGAGCGGCAGGGTGAACGGAGAGGCAGGGTGAACGGAGAGGCCGGGTGAAGGGAGAGGCAGGGTGAAGGGAGAGGGTGGGGAAGGAGAGGCAGGGTGAACGGAGAGGCAGGGTGAACGGAGAGGCCGGGGAAGGAGCGGCAGGGTGAACGGAGAGGGTGGGGGAGGAGAGGCAGGGTGAAACAGGGTGAAACGATCTTCACAAACACATCAAGGCCTCACTTGGCTGCCCCCGCCCTGCAGTCAAGCACACCTGCTACCTGCTGCTCCCAGGTGGGAAATAGTGACAGGGACCGAGAAGCGGCCCTCAGACACGGGCGCCGCGGGAAGCACAGGGGCGGTACTCACGGTGTAGCAGCAGTGCTCCTTGATGATGACCCGATTCGCAAACGTCTCATTATGGGCCTCAATGTGCAAAGTACGTTCCCGAGAATTCAGTGAGTTTTTCTGGATGAAATAAACATAGTCGACTCCTGCAATCTTTAGAAAAGAAATAAAGAGAAAAGGATTGATTAGTACCACCCGTCTGCAGCAGAAGCTGTAGGCACAGTTCACTGTGGTTTGGGGGCGCCTCCTTGGGGCCCTGCGGTCACCTTTTTCAGCAGCCTCGGTGCATCTATGTCCAGTTTGCAGCGTCTTTCTATAACGTGAACAGCCCCATCCTCACTCCTGAATTCATTCACAGTGTCACTGTCCACAAACATCGGAATCAAAGGACACGTAGGGAACCTCCTTTCATAGGCCTAGAAACAGTTGGAAAAAGAGGAATTGAAAATTTGTCACTGACACTGCCTGGAATGAACCCGCCCCTAACTGGGCACCAAGAGCCTGGTCTTCAAACCTCAGCCCCACGGAGGGCAGGACGCTTGCCGTTCGGGGCGGGAAAGCTCAGCACAGCGGGGAGGCCAGTCCTCCCCACACGGACACAGGCGTCAGAGTTCCATCCCAGTCCCAGCTAGACTTGTACTTGTAGCCGCAGACAAAACTACTTTAAATTTACATGAGCCCTGGCTGGTCTGGCTCAGCGGTTAGAGCGTCGGCCTATGGACCAGAGAGTCCCAGGTTCGGTTCCCACTAAGGACATGTACCTCAGTTGCGGTTCGTCCCGGTCCCGGTTGGGGTCGTGTGGGTGGCAACCACTCGATGTGTCTCTCTGGCATGGATGTTTTCTCTGTCTCTCTTCCTCCCTATCTCCCTCCCAGTCTGTCTGAAGATAAGTGCAAAAGTGTCCTCAGGTGAGGATTAAAAAAAATAAAATAAAAAATTTATATGGAGCCCTGGCTGGTTGTTCAGTGGTTAGAGCATCAGCTCGCAGACCAATGAGTCACAGGTTCGATTCCGGTCAAGGGCATGTACTTCAGTTGCAGTTTGTCCCAGGCCCTAGTTGGGTCGTGCAGGAGGCAACCAGTGGATGTGTCCCTCTCACATCAATGTTCCTCTCTCTTTCCCTCTCTCTTCCCCTCTCCCACTCTATCTGAAGATACTTGATAAAATATCCTCAGGTGAGGATTAAACATACATATATATCCTCGGGTGAAGATTGAGAAAAAAACGTCCATGGAAAGGCAAAAGAACCAGAGCACTTTTGAAAAGGAGCCAACGGGGAGCAATCGCTGCACCTGGCATTGAGGCTGAGCATACAAGCCAGAGACGTCCAGGCAGACGACACGAGATCAATGGACAGAGCAGACAGCCATAAACTGACTCACACAAATAGGCCTGACTTTTGACAAAGGTGCAAAAGCAATTCAATAGAGAAGACTACCTTTCAACAACTGTCGCTGGAGAAACTGCACACCCACAGGCAAAAAAATGGACCTCGACCTAAACCCCATAAAATTGTAACATAAAAATTAACCCAAAGTGGATCACAGATTTAAACATTTTTGTAACATTCTTGAAATGACAAAATTACAGAAACGGAGAACATACTAGTGGTTGCCGAGGTGAAGGAAGGGCAGGGAGGAGGTAGGGGGTGTGACTGTAACGGCAGCAGGGGGACACTGGGGGAGAGCTCTGTGTCCTGACGGCACCAACGTCAACGTCCTGGTGTGAGAGGTCCCGTGGTTCCCCACAACGCTCCACCGGGGGGAACGGTGCAGAGCACATGAGTCTCTCCACATCACTCCTGTGAACGATGCCGGTGTACTGTGAACCTACCACTACCTTGAAACAGTGAAAAGAAAGGAAAGACTTGCCACACACACAACTCATCCAAGCTTCTAGCACACACACAGGTACAGACTAAGCTCACTCTGCCGCAATCTGTGCAGATCACAGAACTGAGCGCAAGGGTGCAGGGGACAGGAAACCACAGGAGGAGGGTGCAGAGCGTCTGGCTGGAAGGAGGAGCCAGGCTGGCCTGGGCGGCCCTGCCCCCGCTCCACGGGAAGGGGCTGATTGACGGATGTCACTACCCCTCAGGTTGTCCTAAAGATGGAGGCCGGGGGAACTGTGACTTCCCATCTTACTCACAATCAAGCACAGGTTTAAGGAAGAAACTGAGAGTGCTAAAAAGATGAATGGAAATGGCAGATTGCTCTGATCTCACCTCCTACCAGGTGCAAGTAGCTTCGAAACACCATCATACTAAATAAAAACACTCTGCCTGCCGTGAAGTTTCTGGGTGTCCCTGTGAACAGGCCCGACCATCTGACCGTGAGTCATCCTCCGACGGCAGGAGCTGCCACAGAAGGGCCGCACAGCGCCAGAGCAACTCACTGCCTCTTCCACCAGGATTTCACTGCCATTCCATCCCAAGGAACTGTTTTCTCATCTTCTCTCCATAACATCATAAGGCTACAGCAGTCTGAAAACATTACCCACACTCCTGCTACCTCCATAGCATGCTAGGGAACCACGCTAGGGACCACACTAGGGACCACGCTAGGGACCACGCTAGGGACCACACTAGGGACCACGCTAGGGACCACGCTAGGGACCACGCTAGGGACCACGCTAGGAACCACAATCGCACTGCGGGGGGAGGGGAGCAGAGCGGGAAGGGAAGCACAGTGAGGACAGGGAGGCAAGGAAATACACAGGGCGACCTAAGAATCAGCAAGTGCTACAAACACTCCAGGAGAAACAGAATACATGCAGCCTGGAGGGACAGCAGTTTGGGAAGGCTTCATGGAAGAGGGGGCATTTACACTGGGCCACAATGGCTGGGAGGGTCTGTTTATAGTCAGCAATGAAGGGAGAGCATTTCCAAGCAAGAGAACCCGGGACTGTGACTTCGAGGAACCTCAGGGTGGCAGCAGGGACCCACAGCCCACAGGGAGGGGAACGAGTGGCCGGCAGTGCACTGACAAGACATGTCCCTACCGGGCACTGGCAGCGTGGCCAGGCCCCAAGGAATAAGAGGGACCAAGACCAACGCAGGCCCTGCCCTCCTGGAGCAGATCTACTAGGCAGGGCTGGGGCGGTTACCCCACCTTGTAACTAGAGGTGGTTTTTCAGAAAATCCACGGAAGAATCCTGCCCAAGATGGCCAGGAAGGGAGGCAAAACCCACACAGGGACCACTGCATTTGTTTTCAAAATGTTCAACTTCGAGAGTTGAACTCCCTCCACTCAAATAGTATATTCTGAATCCCATGACTCCCTACAGTCTTGATAAACCAACAATGTTTGTCTCTCAATGCACTTTACAATAAACAACATTTAAGAAGTTTGTTCAGCTGCTCAGATCCCACCACAGAAACGTCCCAACAAGGCCCTCCGGCGTGTCCGCGTGAAGCACTGCAGACAGTTCTCGGAAAGTGCTGACTGTCCTGCCCTGCGCGGGCCCTGGGAGCCGGCTGAGCTGGCTTCTGAGCGCACCACACGGAGGACTAGCTGTGTGCATTCCAGCACCGCGATGTACTAAGAAACTGAGAGCGCAAGGGCTTCAGACAAAACAATTCTTCTTAAGTTACATAAAGGGAAGAGTAAGCACTTACCAAGAAACAACCTCAGCTAGAATCTCTCCTAGTTAAGTGCCTACTAGATCATTTTCCAACATCCTTTAAGTTCCTGGAATACAGAGGTCAGCAGAAGGCATTACCCACACAGCCTAACCTTGGATTTAAAACACAGTCAAACCTTCCGTCCCCTGTAAAGGCAGCCGCCCCGTAGGCTCATGTTTGCAGACGTTCCTTCGGCCTCGGCCCCACCCAGAGAGCACTTAGGGTGTGCAGGCTGCTGGGCAACTGACCGAGGGTGTCGGAAGGTCCCTCGCCATGCTCTGTGGGTGTGAAGGCAGTCACCAAGCACTGCCTTCCTCCCGGCTCCTTCTGGCCCAGTGCGTCTCCTGCTGCCACCTGCATTGTCCAGTCACAGGGCAGAGACCATGTCCTCCAGCTCCCTGCATTCCCAGGACAACGAGGACCTTCCCCAATGCCTAAGACAAAGATGCTGCTCATCGACACATTTTCTGCATTATGGAATAAAAGCTTACTAGACAGCCCACGAACCCAGCCTTCTGCTTCTGTGCTACTCGCTGCGGCCATCTTTCAAGATGTGTGCAGTTACGAACTCTGCGTACAGTAGGCACAGAAAACCCTAACTTTCTGGAGGGTTGTGGAAAAGGAAGACTGCAAGAAGTTGTCATCATTTAGTCTCTGAAATCCCGACAGGCACCAGCCCCTAGTTCCAGCGTGAACTACAACCTATAGTCTCTGCAGCCCCTGAAAAGCAGACGCACCCCATCGTTCAGAAATGTGAACACCTGTTCCAGCTCTATCCATGGAAGGACCTAGAAGCAGAGATACCTCTAGCACCCAGATCTTGGTTGCTAAGTACCATTCTCTACTAAAGGAACCCTCTTGCAGAAACGGCTGATTACAGGTCTGGAGCAAGGCAAAGGCAAAGGAGCCTGAAGCATTTGTTACCAGAAAACAAGAAAGGAAAAATAATGTGGAGAGACAGGGACCGACCTTAATGGGGTTCCACTGCCAATTCTGGGATAATTTGGGCACCAGATCAAGAAAAATGGACGGGAAGCAAATTCTGCAGAACTGTCACCTCAGAGCCACAAAACAGAACGACAGAACTGGGTAGCACTGCTCCGCACCCTGCGGCTCACAGCGGCCCGAGGTGTCAGCAACGGGTGATGCGCGAGGTGGCTGCCGGAGGAGGCGGCAGTCTCAAACCATCACCTGCAGAGTATCCCAAAGAAAAAGGGACAGCCCGGCCAGCGTGGCTGTGGCTGAGCATGGACCCCTGCACCAGGAGGTCGCGGGGTTCGATTCCCGTCAGGGCACACGCCCAGGTTGTGGGCCTGATCCCCAGTGGGGGCATGCAGGAGGCGGCTGATCAGTGTTTCTCTCTCTCATTGATATTTCTATCGCTCTCTTCCTCTCTCTCTAAAAAAATCAATAAAAACATATTGGGGGGAAAAAATGGTGTGTGAAAGAGATAAAGCCATGTGGTAATTCACCTAGGTGACATATAGACAGGAATTCACTCTTATAAATTTTTTAAAAATAGAAACTTCTCAAAATAAAACGCTGAGTAAAATGTTAGTAAGAAAAGGTCATTTGGGGGAGTCCACAGATAAGCTAACTAACGGATTAAATATGAAACTGTCGCATCTTGCACATGAAAATGTATACAAACTCCAGGCTTACCTGAAGCGCTAAGACAGGGGCAGGCAGGTGCGCAGCTCAGCAGAGACCTGAGCCTTCTCCCAGGGCCACCCGGCAGCTCGGGCTCCTGGTTTTCCAGAGAAGCCAGCAATCTGGGCTGGTGTGAAGCTTCTC